AGGCAGTATTCAATCATTTTTTTTTTCATCGTTAACTAGCTATTGCTTTTTTCTAATGAAGTTGAAAGAAATTTTATAATGATCTTATGATTTGGTTATATAGAAATTTAACTTATGCTCCTGATTTGAAAGGGTAAGTTTCATTAAGTTCTTTACTTCTAACCTGTAATATCGCTAAAACTACACAAAACTCTATTTCCGATTTAAAATTTTCTTGTTAATTCCCAATGTTGCGGTCCAGATCAATTTCCGCGTGTTTGAAATTTAATTTAAACTTTACAATTTGTTAAAACTCTGTCGTACTGGGATTTACAGTATTGTAATTGCGGTTTTGGTTTTCGTTTTGTAAACGATAGAGGTATATACGGCACGTGCAAGAATTATTTGAAGATAATAAATCAATTTATACTTAGTGTTAACGTCATTCTTTTAAATTTAAAAATTAATTCTCTTCACTTTAATTTTAGTCAAAATGTGCAGATGACTACACCCGTGCTACCGACGCCGAAACTTCTACGAAGATTTTTGCAGCACTCCAGCGAAATCTGGTTCGCACTATCGCTGAAGACATCACTGCGATACCCGCCGCCATGGCGGTAGGATAATCGCCTTTAGATGCTACAATCCGCTTATATTATAGAAGATGCCAACACCGTCGTGTCATACGATACAAGCCGGCTGTGTCATTCATATGACCCCATACAATGTTCTGATAACACTTCAGCAAACTGCCGCGCTGAGGGGCCCCAATCACCGGGGGCCCGTGCGGCGCTAAGAAGCCAGAGTCATGAATGAGAGAGCAACTTCATAAAGAGGCGGAGTAGAAGACCCTTCGTGCGTGGAAATCTCGACGTCTTATCTACTTTGTTTTCATTTCATCCATAGCATCTGTGCTTGGCGTTGTTTGAAGTGATTCCTTTACAGCAATCACACTTCCTCTAATAACATTTTACAGATAGAAAATAAGAGAGAAATTTAATATTTAATTTTTAATGATGGGCTCATTTTCAAACATGAAATACTTGAAATTTTCGTAATATTATTTTATGTAGGAAGAAATTGTTAAAATTCAATTCTTAAGTTAAAAAAAAATAGAGTGTGAAAGAAGATTATAAACGACCGCGTTTTGAATTGAAATTTATGAAAGTTTTAATTTTTAATTCTTGTTTGTATTCATCAATGTGACATAAAAATTGTTTAATTCTTAACATGCGTTATTTTAATAAGATGCATGAACTCAGTCTCTGTTGTAGATAGAGCCACTTTTTGTTGCCTTTTCTAGCCAAGATACAGCTAGAACATTCTTATTAAAATCATAGCCAGTGACCGATGTTGTCGCTGGCAACACTATACCAGATATGACGTTAACTTCTCGAGCGAAGGGACACATGGTCGCATGGAGCGGTCACTTGGATTTTGGCTGCGTTCCCCGGCAGTGATATAACCACGAGTGCTACTTGTCGTTATAATAGTTGTTAATATTCAAGTTCATTAATAGTTAAAATATTAGAATCAAGGTAAAAACGTTAGAACTCTTATACCGAGATACGCATTTTCAAATCATTTGCATTTTAAAAGTAAAAAAAGTAACAGCCTATACATGTCCCGCTGCTGAGCAAAGGCCTCCTCTATACAGAGGGTATCAGGGCATAGTCCACCACGCGGCTCCACTGCGATTTGGCGGACTTCACATGTCTTCGAAATATATTTTTTTTCTTATTTTTTCGAAAATATGCAGATTTTCTCACGATGTTTTCCTTCACCGGGGAGAACGTGATAAGTCAGCACTTAAAGTTAAAAACTTCATTGGTGCCGGTACCGGGGATCGAACTTAGGTTGCTCGAGTATATTAAATTAAAGGCGAGCGCCCGGCCACTGAGCTATCACGGCTCTTTTGCATGTTAAGCGTCACTGTAATTAATGACCGATCTGTGGTACTTGAAAGTTCTTTGGTCTTTTGCTTCTTCTAATATCTCCAATACAATAAAAATGAATATACTTAGAATTGTAAATTTGAATTGCAATTTTTTGCAGTTATGAAGATTTGGTCTCACCATTAAGGCCCGTACTCGATCGGAGATAACAGTCGACAAAGGTGGCTACTACAGCCACCGTCACCGAAAATAATGATAAATGGATATCAATTAATTTGTGTCAATTAGGCAACATAAAACAGCCTATAGCCAATTCGTGTCCTAATCGTACAGCGAAACCATATGTGCTGGGATTTTTATTACAGCTTCATAAAACCTAGGACAAAAATTACTGCACAAGTATGCTATAAAGCTCACTTTAAACAACCACTACTTCTCAATTACTCAAGTCATGTATTGAATTTATTTTGATATTATATTATTATTTCTATTTATATTATATTATAATATTATATTTGATGTTGATATTATTATAGTATTACTTCGATTCATTTTCGTGGGTTCTGATTCAAGCTCGCGGAATCTGGCTAGCCCACGGACTCTGCGTTCGATGAAGCTTTAATAGTATACGGGCTGAAATACATCAATAAAGTCTACGCCAACATCAGATGCCTTCCATTTGACTTCTATTAATCAAATTTATACTTTTCTTTCAAAGCAATGTTTCGATTATATCAAACGGGAAAACTGCAATTTCCTAAATATGTAAAAACCAAAAATTTCCAGATCGTTGTAGTTCAATCCCTATACTTATGTAAATATTGTATATAATTAGGTGAGACTTATCACTTTTATTTTAATAAATAGTTAATACTGAACAATAAGGCTAAATGAATAATAGGCAATAACAAACACTACAATTTTTTGCACATCTCAATTTATCTATTTTCATCACAACAAAAAGATATAAATAAATACATTGATCTACTTATTTTGTTAAAGCTAGGAACATATAATATAAGTATACACATATCGTTTTAATTATGCAATATACAGTTGCAACGACACAGACAAACGACATATATTTATTTCGATTATTTCTAGGCTACAATATGACATCTATATAAAAATAATAAAAGCACGTTCATCGTGGTACTTAGATCAGCAATGAAATTAAGTTTCAAATTAAAATATATAGAAATTGTGGAAAGATAGATCTATATGTATGGAGTATATTAAAAACATATCTGGTAATTATCTCATAATTTAATATAATCATAAAGAAAAAGATTTTTATATCGGCTGTATACAAAATTTTTCTATAAAATCATAAATTAGTTATAATATTTTCCAAAATATACATAATATTATGTTTGTCATGTAAAGTGTGTAAAAGTATTTTTCATATAGCCTAATTTTAATTGACTTATAGAATGGTCAAGTTTTTGAAGGTTTTCTCAATGAAAAAAATTAATTCAGCCAAAACTTTCTGTAAAATGTGATAATAATATAATAAGCTCCACGATATGATGTTGTTACATTGAGATATGGATTCAGTTTATTAGGAGATAAAATGATCTAAGATTTTGTATTCAGTTATCGAACATTTAAAGCAGTTATAAGACACATCCAAAATATTACACTAAGAAAATTATACCACGGCTACAAAGTTTTTTTACAACAAGCAATAGCAAGTATAAAACATTTCTTCTCAAGTTTGGGACATTTACCATTGACAAGATTAGGTATGGTTCCCAAATTCCAGTCACGTAGAAACTGCGTTCCAATAATGCGGTACGTTTATATTAGAAATTCTTTCGTCACACTGTAATATCCCTTGCACGTAACCAAACTTGAAATATGATAGCTGTAATGGACATTTTCTACGGTGACAAGGAATGTCTAACATAATCATACCAATATTTTATTGATGTGTTGTTAACCTTAAACATTTCTACAAGGATTTTTCCGCTACCCAAACTGAGTATACCATCCAAAGTTAAACCTACTTTCCTTTAAATCGATACCTACTTAATTTTTAACACCAATATATTTTTATCAATACCTACGATATATAGTTGTGTATACACAATAAACATCTTTTCTTATATAATTATAAAATTTAGCTTCCTCTACAGACACCGAATAGAATAACCGTAAAATTCAGTCCTCATAGACGAGTCAGAATAACAATCGATGATTGAAAAGCTGCTGGGATTTAAAAAAGGGAACGGTGCAAGTTCTAGATTTATTTCTGTTATATTTATATATATATTTACAGTATAAGCATAGACATTACGCAAAAGACTTATAGGAAGAAGTAGCAAAACACCCTGATGGTTCCTGATAAATGTTAATAAATATAATTGCCTAAAACTTAAACTATAAACCAATACTTTTGACTCTTTATAAATATTTCAAGTTAATTTGGGCAAAAAATCATTTTACTTTAAAATTTATAAATGAATGACACATACCTATTTGCCATTGGTTTTTTTAATCATCGCGGTAAAAAATGTATAAATTTGAAAATAACATTAACTGTTCTTCAAAAACTTTTCTAATCTTGTGCAAAATTGCAGTATGCAGTTCACGAAGTTTTCATCAATTATTTTATTTGAGCTACGTTGGCTAGAAGTTTGTTACCGTACTTGAGCAAATATTAACTGCAAATCATATTTTCATAGTTGCTCGTGTGACGATTATAGACACCACATAATGTATAGTAAGAAATACAAAAAAAATAATAGTTTACAACGAGTCTTAAAGTACTTGGTCGGGATTTTCTACTAGAGACTAACATCTAGGGACATAAGCTCCGAAAGTGCACGCTATACACATTTGAAAATTTGTTGAAATTTCACATACACATTTTCTCTCATGAATAGAAGAGTAACACAGTCTTGTAGTAATTTTTATAGTAATACCGATGCTTTATAACATCTTAAACAATGAATACTTAAAGTATTAATATGCATATGATTAAATGAATTTCAATTTTTTTTTTACATATTTTTTATGTTTTATATTGTCGACATTCAAATGGACGTAATATATAAATAGACAAATAAGAACATTAATAGATAACAGACAAACTTAATATTAATTACAACATTTAAAATTTTACTGTTCGGCGAAACGCAATTTCTGTTTTTTGACGAAATCCATCGCCATTTTGTCCGTTGTACGAGACTCCAAGATTTGCAAAATTGGGTGACCTGCAAATTTTTCATAAAGAAGTGCTTTGTTTGCATACAACAACATTTTTATTGACAAACAACAAGACCGACATCAAATATTTCACAAAATATACATTTTCTATTTGATTTTGATGATTTCTTGATTTTACGCGAATATGATACATAATATTAAATGAGACTAGTTTACGGATTTTATCGCGTTTTAAATATGATTTCTAATTTTTAATTCCCGACGTTTCGAACCCTGTCCAGCGTTCATGGTCACAAGACAGATTTAGATGTTTCACGTCTTAATGTCAAAGTTAATCCGGCCTACTGTCAATTATTTTGTTAATTATTTTTATTCCGATCTACGCAAAATGACCTTATGGTATCTTGAGGTCCAGCAGCGTTGCTGTGTTTGGAGTTAATTTTATAAATTATGGGATCCCAAGCAGATGATAAACCCCAAACCACCCTCTCGGAACCTGAAGACGATTGAAAAAAAAAAAATAGACTGCGACAATCGTGAGTACTTACTTCGATCGTGTAACTGCATCAGTGGCAGTTCTACGGGGCGCAGAGGATCTGGCGGTGCATGGCTATTGACACCGGGTACTCGCGAAAGTGATATGAAGGCTTCGCCAGCGAAATCGTCCGCTGTAAGCACGTCTCGGTCCCACACAGACAGAGCCAGTGTGGCTTGAGGAGAGCGGCAGGCTTCCAAGGAGACCGCAAATTCAAAACACTCGTCCCATACAGGATTCAAAGTTTTCTGTAAAGTTCATGTTTGTAAAGGTTTGTGCCTAATTACCTACATAGTATATATCACCATCATCATTTTAGCACGTTAGAGTCCACTGCTGAACATAGGTCTCCCCCACAGACTGCCACAAAGCACGATCCTAACCACCTGCATCCATCAACTCGCACATTTGCTACTCCATCTAGTGAGGAGTCATCCTACACTGCGACGGCCACGAGGCTGCCACTCGAGAACTCTTCTTTCCCATAGTTTATATCGGAAGTATAAAACTACTGTTTCGTCATTTTCATTTCCATAAAATGTATTTTACTTTTTTGAGTTGTTAAAAGTAACATTATAATATGTGCGTAATAATATATGTAACTAGATATAACTGTCGTAGGGCAACGCAACAGTCTCTTCCGTTGCACGAATGGGCAGATCCGAATACTTCTGTGTTTCGTCTGATGAGTGGGGTAACCGGGACCCACTGATTGTCAATTTTTGAAATAAAAAAGGACTTTAATTACTTTTAATTAATTATCTTATTACGCATATTATATAGATACTAGCGGATCCGATAAACGTTGTCCTGTACAGTCGACTAAAATCCGATAACTTATAATTTAAAAAAAACTTGTTGTGGACCGTATTGTGAATTTAAACCATTTTCGAATCAACTTGAAGACACACACAAATTTCATTAAAATCGGTCCAGCCATTTAGGAGAAGATCAGCGACACACAGGTACAGAAGAATTATAACTATGTATATAAAGATTATGACAAAACACGATGGCTTATGCATTGTTGAGGTATCAATTTTATATGACATACACAATATCAGAAAATACAAATGTATCGTTCAATTGTTGATTAAATATTGGGAATAACAGTATCGATTTATGAATGGACAAAATAACATCATATTTAAAAGCATACAATGAAGAAAAAAAAAGAGCAAAAAGGAATATCATACTTCTATTTAAATCAACGTTACTATGAAGAGATTTTGCAATATTGATTATTTATGATTACTAGTGCGAATTTTCAAATTGAATGATTTTTATATTACTTATATTTTTATATTAGTTTACTTAGTTCAGCGCATCATTTTTAGTTATTGGAGTACGTAATTTTTTTAAAAACTTGCCATTGTTTATGCGACTTTATGAAAAAGTTTCCATGTTATACGTCATATTATATATAAATAATTAAAGTTGCCAAGTTTCTAATAACAATTTGTGATCCACTGTGTCAAATTATAATCAAAAATCTGTTAAACGTTATAATATAGTACTGACATTTAGAAACAAATTGTAGAATTTTCATATTAATAATTATAATAATTAGAAATAATTTTACGCATGAATGGAAAAGCACATTCATTTATTACATTTATTACATTCTCGGTTCTATTCAGGTTCAAACGTGTAAATTTTTCTTTTCTCGAAAAATTTTTATATTCATAATATAATGTTTAAAATTTTATTTTATTGCCACAACTTATTATATATACATAAAATACGAATAAACACTTCGAAATTGTATGATTCCAATTTCCTTATTTATTGATTAGCCACAACCTACATATATCCATCTGCTGGGCAAAGGCCTACACCAAGTTTATCAAAACATAGCCGATTGCATAGTACAGAGCATAGTATTGGCAGACTTCACATATCTTCGATTTTTTTTGATATTTTTATTTGGAAAGTATGCAAGTTTCCTTACGATGTTTCCTTCACTGCTGAGCATTTGATAAGTCAGCAGTTAAAATTGAAGTTACAGCGACACTAGGATTTGAACTCGTGTTGCTTTTCGTAGTAGTAGTATTCGAATGAAAGCGAGCACCCGGACACTCCGCCGTCATTAATCTTTTAGTTAATTCACAGGATCGGAATATAAATAAAATATAAATTTGTATTCGTACAAAGAATATTTGTAAAATTGTACACAAATATAATAAATATTATAACTGACCTTTTGAACATTCGTGCTTTGTTCGTGAGCCTTCGGGAACAATCTCTTTGGAAGTAGCTCCAATACAACAAACGGATCGCTTAATCCATTAGGATCTAGAGGAATTACATCCCGCGCCGACAGAACCTCCACACACAGCGAATCGTGGTTGAAGTACACTCTAATAAATAATAATAAATATTTCAGGACATGTTTTCCACAACTATTAAGGGTACTGGATCAGTTATCCAGTACTCTTAATAGTACTGCAATAAGCATACCTTTCTTTCTTCAATAAATACATATTGAAGTTACTGTAAGTTACTTTACTTGACTACATATTAAAGATACATAAGCACCCAGACACAAGTTATCATATAATATGTATTTTTTTATTCGTGGGAATCGAACCAAGAAGAAGCAAGAGACAGTTTCATTATCCACTGCGCCGTTGGCGGTCATAGAAAAAAATATAAGAAAATGATAATTAAAAAATAATGGTTTCATATACTAATGGAAAACAATGCTTATAATATTGATGACTTGATAACGCTTAACAAGTAATTATGTCAGCTTAATCGATCTATTAGTCTAATTATTATAAATAACGTTACCGAAAAATGAAGACAAATAAAATTACCTGACTAAAATGGAACCATACGGCGAAGGCAGAGGTGTGCGGGATTGTTCAATTATCCGGTCAGCAAGCCACATCTCCAATAGCTCTTCCGTTTGAGCTTGGTGGAATTGCATTCTTTGTTCCAATCGAGACCACTCAACGCTATGCACGTCAGACATCGGTAGGCCTTTAAAAATGTGTTTGTTTTTGGGAAATGCATTATGTTAGCTTATTAGAACTTTTTAAAAACAAGAAATGACATGTATCGTAACTAATACAACACTATGATATTAAATCTAAAAGTAAGGTAACTTTAATACCCCATTTACTGAATATTAGTTACGATACAAGGATTGCAGGCACATTGCCGGCCTAATGAAAAAGGGAGTCTTTTCACAGGCTGAAGGATCAAAGCCGTTTCGTACTGAAAAAGATCCTATGACATCTTCAATATAACCTTTTTAATTTTATAATATTTTACGGTGGTAGGGCCACGCAGCAGCCTCGGCTGTTGCACGAATGGGCAGGCCCGTCCGGGTAAGTACCACGACCTCACAGAAGACCGGCGTAAAGTGGAAGTATGACAAATACTTTCGCGTTTCGTCTGGTGAGTGAGGTAGCCGGAGCCCAATTTTCAAAAGGTTGTCAACGCATCTGTAACCCTCGAGTGTAGCAGATGTCCATGGGCGGCGGTATTCACTTAACATCAGGTGAACCGTCTGCTCGTTTGACAACTTATCGCATAAAAAAAAAAAAAAAAAAAAAAAAACCTAACTAGCGACCCGCCGCGGCTGTGCACGGGTGTTATGTATTATACATATAAATCTTCCTCTTGAATCACTCTATCTAGTAAAAAAAAACCGCATCAAGATCCATAGCGTAGTTTTAAAGATCTAAGCATAGATAGGGACAGTCAAACAGCAGGGCTACTGTTTTATACTATGTAGTGATACTCTTCTATTACCTTTTCCCTCTGCGTGGAAAAATTCAGCAAGTAAATCCAGAGCCTCCCTCAATCTATGATGGTAGACCCGAGGCTTTTCCGCTCCCCCCGCATCAGCTTGGGCTGAAACTTCTTTCAGTACGGCGCTCCAACAACCGGCGAGCGCACGGATAAACGCGCGTGGAGAGCAGCCAAGTGTTTAAGGACGACAAATGTTGATCCAAAAACTCCAAAAGGGGTGTTATAGCCTGTTAACAATAAGTTGATAAAACGTTAAACAACTTACACGTCTTAATGATATTGGAGAAGTAGTATTTCTCAACATCTAGAATTATTAAGATATGAAAAAAATACCTTTGAAATGAAATGTTCAGCAATTGAACAAAAGAAACAGAAATTTCGTACACAATTAGAAAATAATAGGTTCCAAGGAGAATAAGTTAAAACCAAGAATAATTTCTCAATTCAATCCGACATCGGTGGGATTTCAGTTCATTTAAATGTGGCGTCATACGCCTGGATTTTTATAAATTTACCTGTGGCGTGGGTAAAGTATCCGGTGACCAGGCCAGGTGGAACACAGCCTTGCGTAACGCGGGCCGAGCGCGGGCGGCGAGGGGCGTGGCGGCGCGGGCCGAGCGAGCGTCGAGCGTGCCTAACGCGCCACGCACAAGTTGCCGCGCGTTCTCGTCGTTCGCGCTAAATTATGGGCCAAGTAACATGTATGTGATTATTAAACGTGAAAAAAGAAGGATTAATTTTGCCCCCGCCCACCAATAGGCCGATATCTGCGGTACTGCGGTACTGCGTAACTGTGGTAGGGCCACGCAGCAGCCTCGGCTGTTGCACGAATGGGCAGGCTCGTCCGGGTAAGTACCACGACCTCAAGGAGACCGGCTTAAAGTGGAATAAAGATACTTTCGCATTTCGTCTGGTGAGTGAGGTAGCCGAAGCCCAAACTTCAAAAGGTTGTCAATGCAGATGCGTTTGAAACCCTCGGGTGTAGCAGATGTCCATGGGCGGAGGTATTCACTTAACATATATAATGTCTTTTTAGATTCCGCTTCGTGCTTCCACACGGAACGGACGTTAATCTGAGCCGGAGGGCCCATGCCAACCGACCCGGAAGCCTTCTTGCAACCGTTGTTGCTAATATCATTTCTTTTATCTCTTGGTGTGCACTGCTTGCCTCATCGTTGTCGTGTTTCGCGGTCTACGGTTAGGGAAGTCTCAAGCAAGAAGAGAGAAGAAAAATTATAGAAGAAAGAAGAAACGTTACAGAAGAACGAAGAAACTTTGCCCGACTTCCAAGCGGATTGTGCTCGTAGGCAGGTTCCTGTCCGTAAGTAGAATTCTACACACATTTCTTGTCTCAGAGGCGGCATTGTAATTTTATCTGTGTGCTTGTTGCATTAGGCGACAGCTAGGTACTCACCCTAGCGCACCTAAAGCGCAGGCGATTAAAGGTTAATTTTAGGCACACACCTCCCTGCCGCAAGGTGGGGAGGCCTATTTAGAAACCACATGCCGGCGGGGCGCAAGCCCCAAAGGCACAAGCGTTGCCATGGGTTCCCTATTAGAGGAATTCCTTCGACAGGAATGCCCCGAAGTATGGGCTAAATATTTAAGCTTCGCGAGGGAACGACGCCTTGTCGTCGAATTCTCCAGCGACAGTCCGGCTTCACCGGCTGCCGCCTCGCCGCCATCTCCGGTGCCCTCTGCGCCAGTCATCGAGTCGCCCTCTGCGACAATCGAAACGCCCGTCGCGTCGACCTCCGCCGCCGCGATCGATCTTAGCGCGCCTTCCGCGCAACCAATTTCGGCCCCCTTCCGCGCTGTCGTTACCGACTCACAATCGGACGGCGGCTCAGACATGGAGGTCGAAACGACCCCCGCTAACAACGCGAACGCCGACGGCTTCACCGCCGTCAAATCGCGAAAAAAGGGCAAGAAACGCCCCGACTACAGACAGCGACCCCGAAAGCGAGGCCGCCCCGTCAAACCGTCCCACCGCGACGCCCGCCAAAAAGGCAGCCGCGTCTGCCCAGTCGGAACCGACATTCGCCTCCGAGCGAAAAATCAAGCCACCGCCGCCAATAATTATACAAGATAAGGCAAAGTGGCACCAGGTTTGTTCGTGGCTTGAACGCCACAACATCCGAGACCCCCGGTCAAAAAATACAAATATGAGTATCCGCGTATACCTCGATTCGTCAGATGATTTCCGCCGCGTAACAAAGTACTTGCGCGAAGCTAAGGTAGGTTTCCACACCTACTCACTACCCGAAGAGCGTAAACTTCGGGTCGTAATTAAGGGCGTCCAAAAAGAGTCGGATGTCGATATGGCTAAGGTCGACATCCGCACACAGGGATACCCTGTTCACGCCGTGCGTCGTCTCAGGCACCCTCGCACCCGTGTCCCTATGGACATGGTCATGGTGGAACTTGACCCTACCCCGGAAGGTAGGGCCATTTTCAACCTTAAGAGGGTCTGTGGGCTCAGTGACTTAGTCATCGAGCCCCCACGTAAATCAGGTGTTGTGGCACAGTGCCACAACTGTAAACATTTTGGCCACATGGCCAATAACTGCTTCGCTCACCCAAGGTGCGTCAAATGCACCGGTGACCACGGCACAACCGAGTGCACGAGGCCGAAAGATTGCGCAGATCCACCGGACTGCGTAAACTGTAACGCCACCGGCCACCCGGCTAGCTACAGAGGCTGCGCTAAGGCCCCGAAAACTCCCGCGAGGAAATCTCCCGCGACATCGACGTTGCCCAAACCCGCGCCCGTTAGATTCATTCCCGCGCCCGTACCCGTCGTAAACGCCTGGGCGAAACCCCAGGTGGCCGCGCAGGTAACCGCGCCGGTAATCCCGGTCGCCTCACGACCGATCGCGCAACAGCTGCCCGCCTCTCAAACGGCGCCGCGGCCGCAGGTGCAGCCAATTCCGTCAGTTTTCGCGGAAAACAAGGACGACCCCTTCGCGCAAATAGCTAACATCTGCAGCTTATTAGATAGAATTAATAGGCAGGAACTCGCCGTATTGTCCGCTAAAATAGCGGCTGCCACATCTGGCCACGAGCGTCTTAGGGCAATTAGCCAACACAAAACGCTTGTGGAAGCCCTTTGGGCTTTTACGAGCCAACCGTAAAGAACAATAGTCCGCGCAATAAAACCGCGCTCCGCCGCGTCGTTAATTAGACCCATAAAAACACCTTAATGGGAAGTACAACCGCAGGTAGAACAAAACCTCGGGCTCTGGTTGTTTCGTATTTCAACGCAAACGGCATAAAGGGTCAAAGGGATGAAATCGCGGAATTCCTGTGCGATCATAACGTAGATATTTTCCTAGTGCAAGAGACATTCTTGAAACCTAGCGTACGCGATCCCAGAATCGCAAATTACAATATTGTCCGCCACGACCGGTTAGCAAACCGTCTGGGAGGCACACTAATTTATTATAAACGGTCCTTGCACTGTTGCCCGCTCGACATTCCAGAGCTAAGTCAAATAGAGGCATCCGCGTGTAGGTTAGCGCTCACCGGCCACAGGCCGCTTGTACTAGTCTCAGCCTACCTCTCGGGGAATAGAACCCTCCTTCAAAGTGACCTAGATACGCTTCTTAACTTAGGCCCTTCCGTGATAATTGCAGGAGATCTAAACTGCAAACACGGCTCATGGGACATCAACAGCATCCCAAACAACAACGGAAAGCATCTCTTTAGCTTATCCGATAACCTAAATTTCAGCATAGTGGCTCCCGCGACTCCCACTAGGTATCCTACGGTGGACAACTACCAGCACGCGTCACCGAGTGTCCTAGACATATTGTTATTCAGGGAGGTCTCGCTCGACATCGAGTCGATAGAGACAATCCATGAACTAGACTCAGACCACAGGCCCGTCCTGTGTAAACTGGGCCAGAACGCCGGCGCGGTCCCTCCGACCAAATCCGTAGTGGACTGGCATCGTCTTGAGGTCAAACTCAAGGCCTTGGACCCCCAGGACTTAGTAGACTTACCCGAGACGATAGCTACGTTCGATGACGCAAATCGAGCGATAGCGAGTCTCCGCGAAACTATTACTTCCGCAGTCGCAGACTCGGAACGGACGGTGAAACTGTCGGGCGACCGACGGTTTAACTTTCCGCCCGACCTGCGACTGCTAATTAGACAGAAAAATGCAGCCAAACGCGCCTTCGACCGGAATCGAACCGAACCCTACTTCGACGCCTTCAGCTAGAAGTCAAAGATCGTGTATCGGAACACCGACACACAACGTGGGACACTCTCCGAGAGGACATCGAGCACCGCCTACTGGCGGTTGGCCCGCAGTCTGAAAGCAGACCCCCGCGAATCTCTACCGCCGTTAGTTAGACCTAATAGCGCTTCAGTAGCCCTAGATGACTCCGAAAAAGCCGAATGCCTTGCGGACAACCTAGAGCAGCAATGTACGCCATCGCGCGAACACACCGATTCGGCCCACCTAACGGAGGTGGACCGCGTAATCGAGACTAGGGCTGCGCTTCCACCGGAAGGCGAACCTTTAAATTCAGTGACCCCCGAAGAGGTCCATGATATTATTAAAAATTTAAAACCAAAATCCGCCCCGGGCCCAGATAATATAAGTAATAAGATTCTCAAAGCTCTCCCTGGGCCGCTTATCTGTTTATTGGCGACAATTTTCAATACCCTTCTCTCCAGTTGCTCCTTTCCGGACGACTGGAAGCAAGCCACGGTTATCGGCATTCGCAAGCCGAATAAACCAGCCAATAAGCCCTCCAGCTATCGTCCCATCAGCCTCCTCAGTTGTCTGGGGAAGCTCTACGAGCGGCTATTGTTAAACAGGCTCAAAGAGCACGTATTTTCCAACGGCCTTCTGCCGACGGAACAATTCGGCTTTCGAGCTAGACACTCTTGTCCCGATCAGCTATACCGCCTAACGGAGCACATCGTAAAAGGCCTTAACCACCCCAAACACATTAGTACAGAGGCTCTCTTCTTCGATGTCGCAAAAGCATTCGACAAAGTCTGGCACAACGGCTTGCTTTACAAGCTGTACACACTCAAAGTGCCAGATAGGCTCGTACACATCATCCGGGCCTTTTTGTTGAAACGCTCTTTTCGATATCGAGTCGAGGGCACCCTCTCCACAAGCCGCCGCCTCACGGCCGGCGTACCACAAGGCTCCTGCCTCTCTCCCTTGCTATTTACGCTCTACACGAGCGACATACCTAGAGACCACCACGTCAATCTCGCGCTTTTCGCCGATGACACGGCGCTCTTTTACTCAGATCGCAACCTCAGTCAATTAACAACTCGACTCCAAAGCGCCGCCGACCGCCTCGGCGATTGGTTCCGCAAATGGAGAATCGATATAAATCCAGAAAAAAGTGTCGCGATTCACTTTACTCGTAGCACCCCCAACCCCCATCCGCCACACCGTTACAAAGGTCCTCGCCAGTACAGAAAGTTGGGGCAAATATCACTATACGGCCAAACTCTCCCCTGGGAGAAAACGGTCAAATATTTAGGAGTCACTTTCGACTCGCGTATGACTTTCACTACGCACATCAATCAAGTCCGAAATAAAGCCGCGTTCGTCTCCGGCCGGCTACACAATTTAACGAATAAGCATAGTAAAATGCCCTTAAGGCACAAACTACTGTTATATAATGCTTGCGTAAGGCCAATCATGTCCTACGCTTGCATGATCTTCGCACATATATATAAATCCTACGCGCATTAACAAATTGCAAGTAGTTCAAAGCAAGTTTATCCGCCGCGCAACCGGTGCGCAATGGTATGAGCGCAACGTCTACCTGCACAGCGATTGCAGACTCCCGACGATTCGCGCTCATTTTAAAGATTTGACAAAACGGTTCTTCGATAGAGCCCAGCATCATCCCAACCCTCTGGTGGTAAGCGCAGCAAACTACCAACCGGACACAAACGCGAACGTAAACAAGCGTCGCCCGCGAAACGTCCTCATCGACCCGGTCGACGAAGAGGACTTAGATACGATGGACCCACCGCCGGGGGTCCCGCCGGATAACACTACACCCACAGTTAGTGTAACAACAGTCACACCAGTTCGCCCTCGCCTCCGAGCACGGCGAGACCCACACAACGCGTACACAAGGTACACCCGCGTTCCGGGGCGGTTCTCACCGCTCCCAGCCACCGATTAGCTAAATGCACAGTCGACGGCCGTCGGGGTCTCGGTCCGAACCGGCGACCTCGACGGCCCTTAGATGACACACCATAGTAGTTAAACGCACGCATGAGCACATGCGCGACCCTACCCATAGCGGAGGGTCCAAACCCGTGGGTTCTGGCTAGCCCACCGGTTCTGCGTCCGATGAAGCTTTAATAGTCTCGGGACTGAAAGCAAAAACATCAGTTAATACAAGATACAAGATATATAATGAATATCAGGGTCTGACAACAATTAACAATACTTGAAACAGATAACGAGAAATCCAGCAATGGACAATCAGTCTAGTTCGTGTTAATCATCAATGTGAACGTTAACGAATTTAAACTGACGCTTATAAACAATAACTGTTCAGACACCTCATTGTTCCCGCAAAAGTTCTCACCTCATTAATCATAACGAGTAAGAAATAATAACGATCTTAGCGTTTCGAACGTTATATTAGGTCTCAAACGCAACAGGTAAGCTAACGGCCTGACACAAATATGAGAAGATATTCATTGCACAAAGAAATTCGAATAACGATAAACCCATCAGTTTTTGACCGCCTTTGTTATTCAAATATAAAGGGGGTTTTTAAGGTGTAAAACTTTAAATTAAAATAATATACTGCGACTACACATATTGTGATAACTCAATGTTCGAGCGCTCGCTTTTAATTCAATACACTCGATCGCCTAACTCCAATTCCCGGTGCCGGCACGAATGGAATTGCCAATTACAATATTAAGTGCTAACTTATCACGTGCTCAGCGATGAATAAATATATCGTGATGATATTGTAGCATGTTTTTAGGAAAAATTCACCCAATTGGGTCCACAAATTATTGTTAGTCACGCCTTTATACCGCTCGACGTGAGGGCTATACTGCATGTCGCCTTTCTCGACGGCGTCATTTTTAAAGTAGTAATGACTAATAAATATTCTGCCGGTTCATAAAGCGCACCAATGATTGATTATAGAGATATTTTTTTCTTATGAGCACAAATTATCACTGAGAATAAATGATAATAGATTTGTTAGTATTTGTAAAATAATTGATATCTATAAGGATATCAAAAATTTTGCAAATACATATAAAGTATAGAGTTAAACTTACATATGCTCGTCGTCATACTCAGCAAGAGAACGCCGCACGTACTCCAAATTGTTGACGATCGTGCATATCTCTTCGGTTGTTTTGTTTTGCCCTATGAAAGTGAAATTTAAAAGTACTGTATAAAATAAGAGAAAACAAATTATATTATTAAAGCATATCAATGACTCACATAACACTAAGTTATAAATTACCCTTATTGTCAACTAAACAACAGACACGAATTCGAGCCTTGCGTTTTAAAAATAATGTTTTTGTTCCCAAAAATTTCCAAAAAATACATGTTAGTAACTGTTTGTTTTTCAAATGATGTTATACCATTAGGATTTTGACTCTGTACTCCCGATTCTCTGATTCCATTTATAGTTATAAATACTAATTTACTATATAAGTACTGTAACTATAGTGAATAAGTTTAACTGTATTTTTGCATAGTTGTTTTTAAAGTACTTTGGGCATGTCAGATAATTCGGCCAGTCTAAACACCAATTCCATATATATTAAATCACTACTGAATTCAATTCAATTTTACAACTGAAATAAGAAAACAATTAATATATTCTAGCAAAGCATTATGACTAATTACCCACCATGGTTCTCATAATAGCCTTGATCAGCAAGTGCACCATGCACTAGATCAGCATAGTGCAGTGCAGTTGCACAAGCTGCTTCCAATAGCCTAAGGCTTCCACCAACCGTGCCCTCCTCTGAACCACCAATGGCACGCCATACCAAACGCATGTGGTACAAACTACAATAAAATATAGCACAAACAAGCCGTGAAGTACTTATAATGTTTCTATTATTACGAGTAATGAATTGGTTCATTACTTGCTTGGGCAAAGGTTCAAAGTATTGTAATTTAATTTAAGTAATAGTTTACAGTGCTCATATAAGCCTGAAAATTATAAGCGATTCTCAATGACCAAATAACTCATGTGACCGCACGAAAATGATTAAATCAAGAACTTCTTCGAGATAAATTGCTTCGTAGAAACCACACGTCACAACGCGATTACTTTAGAACGGTATGGTTTCTTTCGTTTGCAAAAGGGTAAATCGATCTAACGGTAAGTATAAAATGGGCATACAAGGTAGTTACATACCAATTTCGATAAGAATCAATAAGTAAGTAGAGTGGTTAGATCCTTTCTACTAAAGTATAATATACAACTAAATGCAATACTCTAATCTTCTTAAAACACCTTTTCATAATGTGGAATCTTTGTTATTTAATTACTATTAAATAATACTCTAGGTAGGTCTAATTCAAATACAATATTATTAATTTGAAAATTTAAAGTCTCTTTTTAAATCGAAAGGATTCTTTAGGTATTGTATATACTAGAACGAATTTTACGTAGCTTACCAAGCAGCGGTGTCTACCGAAGACGTGCTATGTTTTACTAAGTGTTCTCCTTCCACGGAACGATCTAGATCGGATAGCAAAAAGGTGTTATTAGATGACAATTATTTAAAAAAAGTCATATTCTGCAATTGCACTATTAGATATTAGATATAGAATTCTTACAAGTGTCATTAGCAGAAGAAAAAAACAGATTTATACGAACAATTTGTGTTAAACAACGAACATGGTTGTTTTTGTTTGTTACAAGAGTTAAAGACGTCTTTGTCATCAGTATCGGAGTAATTAATGGGTTCGTGCGACGCTTACTTAGATATTTATCTAAAACGTCTCCATTATGTTACGACTCTATTGTTGCCCTTTCTGTAATAAGAGAATCCAAATGATGTCGCCAAGGTAGTTTTGTTTCGTTAGAATATTTTTAGAACTTTTATTTCTTAAAGTATTATAAAAACCTTTTGATGAAAACATTTCGTTTATTCAATTATTCCAGTCTTTTTAAATAAACGGAGTTTGTATGGTATTCATAAAAGATTTTACTTAAGCTTTAATTTTTTTTAATGACCCGGGCGAAACCTGCCATAAATAAATTTCAAGTTAAATACTAACATGTATGAAATAAAAAAGTAGTTAACAAGGTAAAGGTTGCGACGAACGTTGCGATAAACTTTCCTACGTATCATACACTCTTCGGACATACATTGTATTAGAAATAGTCGTTATTTTCACTAACTTATCTTTGGTACAGGTAATGAAATGAAAGTATTGACATTACATGAATATATACTTCATCGCTACATGCTTACATAGTTAGTTACCCACCTAGTTCGACTGCCGCGCGCACTCTTTGCAGTGCCATCGTCTTGGTAACCGCCAGCCAGCGATCAATCAACGGCTCGAACCAACTGTTTGAATCAACATGAATATAAACGCCAAATACGGATAGTTAGTATTTTCCTTAGTCATATAAATGAAAAGCCCCTTGATTATTATTTTCTCTCACAAAAGAAGGAACCTAAAAAGAGAAATAAAATAAAAAATAAGACTGAAGAATAATCATCTGGACTCGAACCGGGGTCTTCTGGTTTCAGGACCGCCCGATTAGCTATCATAACCTGAGCTATTATAACCTTGTGGCGAAATTTATCTTCGTATTGTAATGATATTGTAGCAGTTTTTCATTTCTTGAAAACACGGATAAAACGTCGTTTTCTAAAAATGAAACCTGGCTAGATTAATTTGTGGCCCCAGAAACCCTTCGCATACTTAAATTTCATTAAAATCGTTGGAGCCGTTTCCGAGATTTTGATTATAAATATACAAGAATTGTTTTTTAAAGATATTTTGTATAGATATAGTATTTATTGAAAAAGAATAACTATGCATAGAATCCTTCACGTTGATTCTCAATTTATTCATAATCTAAACTTGAAAAGATCAAATCGACAGTTAATTTTATTCTATTCACCGATTTTTAACTCACCGTCTTTATAAATTAAACTTAGGTATAATGTTGGTGTTATTTCGATCACTTTACTGGTGGATTTTGAAACTATTGAAGTTTAAGCTGAATTTATAGTAATTACATGTACGCTTCGAGCAGCTGTGGCGGCGGGTCGGCGTTGGGGTGAGGAGACGGGGCCGGGGCAGCCGCGGCACATAGTTCACGCACCGCCGCTAACACCTCAAACGGGAGTGTCTTCGCCGACACTACGCACACTGTGATATAATTTCAATGTATTTATTAAGCGCATCGCATAGTAAAATATCTGCGTTATATCTTCAACAAATAAGTGAAACATTTTTGATAACAAAAAACAAAACCGTTCTAGAATATACATTATGTATATTTGATTTTGAGGAGTTTCCAGATGTATACCCGGATTCTACTCTATACTAATACATTTCTACTAATAAAATTAATATGAGATCACAGGGGAGCCGAACTGAACCCAATGCTAAATGAGTTTTTAATATCGTTTCACAAATAAGGAATTTACTATAATGAACCACCCCTGTTTTTGAAGTCGGTTGCTTCTTTAATGGCCTCACAAGAGTTTTGTATTTGGTACATATCCTGCAGTACATTTTAGTGTTTAAAAATATTTTATCTTAATATTTTGAATATATCGTGGGTTAGACGATATACCCTTACGGATTTACCCGTGGCCAATTCATTAAAATAAATGCTACTCAATTATACCTCCATTGCCGTGCTCGTCATACAAGTCTTCTTCATCCACGCCGCACCATCCTTCTGTTATCCAATGTTCCACGCATAGTTTTACATCTTCGGATACCTGGATTTTTAAATAAAATATAATTCGTGCTTGAAAATACTGGTATATACAGATTACGATATAACAAGAATATTTTTCGCCGAAATAAAGATATTTCCAATGGCTTGTTACAAAATTAAATACAACCCGTTGATCGTTGGCTAAATATACATATAAATTTTTTAATGTAAATTCTTTTCTAATTAATTGCGATTGTTCTTATAACAGTAAGAACATAATTTCAGTTTTGACAACTTCTTTTCATACTACAATAATGGCATCAACTTCAATCGTTATTAAGTAATAACACACCGTATAAAAACCGATACGATATATTTTTACTGTTTTTCAGACTAAAGTGCCAAGGTATTATTTCCATTACTTGATATTACATTATTAGGTATTACTTACCATTTTATCAATTTGAGTGAACACTACTGTGAAATATGGGACGTTGTTGGTTCTGCAACAAAGTGGTGATATTATGTTAAACCACAAATACCTTTAAAAGGTGACAAATTCTGCCAATATAAAACTAAATGAACCTAGTAGTTGTGTCAGTTTTTGTCTAATTAATTTGACCTATGTACACATGAATATAAAATAAAATGTCAAAAGCAACAAGCCGATACCACATAAAAAATTTCATGTCTCTTAATATTTTATTCGGTTATAACTTAAAACTTATTATTTATTTAACTTACGTTTCGAATAGCGGATGGTAGTAAGTAAGTCCCTGCTGAAGATCTATTTGGACCAGCGTAATAAGGTTTACCAAGTCTTCCCCGCGCTCAGATCTAGTGTCCTGGGCGCAGAGCGCTTCATACCACTCCGCGGTACCTTTGCGTAACGCGCCCACAATTTCACTCCTACAAATCAGATATGATGGAAAGTAAACAGTACCTGCTCATAAAAAATAAAATAAAATATCTTCTTAGCATAAATATCTTTCGAACCGCAGTCAAAACTGTACCTTATTTCTTTATTGAATGGGCAGCAACGCCAAAAAGCTTTCATTTGGGACAATTGGTTGAGACATCTCAATAAATATTCCAACCTGTAACAAAAGCTAATTTAAAAATATGTCTAATAAAACATTTTTATCGTTAATTAATTGTGAAAATATTATCATTTAGTTAAAGTTTGCTATTGTTGAAATCAAACAACAATTTTTAAAGATTTTCCTTCTTAATGCTCTAACAAAAACATGAAAAACTTTTTTTTTTGTTATTCACTACTTCTTAACTACTTAGAGAAGGTGTACGAGTATGGTCATAAAACATACTGATTCAGGCTCAGATTATGCAGCACTGGGTACAGATCCCGGTGGAGGCGAAGTTGATGCAGAGCGCGCTCCACAAACTCGCCGAAACAATCAGCGAGCCATCGCTCTTCGTCGCGTGATGCCCCGGCCCCTGAATCACCGCTGCCACCACCATTCAAAGCCTCGTGGGCGCACCATGTCTTTTCCAACTCCGTCAACAGCTTGTACATATACCTGTGCATGTCAATGAATTTAGATGACTCCATGGCGCAGTTGGCAATTGGCTTCGGCGTCTGGGGTCGTGGGTACGATTCCCACACCGTTTGTTTGTGTGACCCATAGATAGTTGTTTCACATCTTGTTTGTCCGTGTGAAATTTATGTTTTTAAGACGTCCTTACAACACAGGATAATGTTATCCTAAAGTAAACGAATGTTTAAAAAAAATGAGTGTACAAGATGTTATTATCTGATGTTTTCAGTCCCGAGACTTAAAGCTTCATCTGACGCAGAAAAAAAATTAATATTTCATTTCTCAACTCGTGATTGATTCAACTCGTATTTTAGATCATATAAAGAGCAATAACCTACAACGATGTTATATAAAAGGAGATCAAGGTACATAACAAAACTCCCCTAACTTCATTCATCTTTGCTTGCAAATTTTATTCATCCTTACAAAAACTTTCATCCGACCTCCCTCATTCCATCTTGAAATTGAAATTATATGAATACTGTGAGCTAAATCAGAATCAGATTTGCATATATTTGATTAATTCTTAATTTCTAAATTGATTAAGGAAATGACTTGTAAAAACGATGACCATGTTTTTATTAAAAATCTTTTTGAATACACCAAATTTTACTTTTGAATATATCGTATTCTATATTTAGTTTTTAGTGTTAATCTAGTATATACAAGCAATGATCACTCTAAATTTCATCCAAATCTTGATAGCAGTTATGACGTAGAGAAAAATCTCACACTTTTTTTTATGTGAGAATGTAGCAAATGAGTTGGCGGTTCATATGATGTCAAGTGATTACCATGGACATCTGAAATACCCGTGGGATCACAGATGCATTACCACCTTAAAGGGCGTCGGTTACCTCACTAACCAGATGAAACGCAGAAGTATAACACTCCCACTTCAAGCCGGTCAACTGAGAAGTCATGTTATTTTGCGGACAAACCTACCCATTGTGCAACAAGATAAACTGCTGCAAGAATCTACAATAAAAAGTGTCACATTTATAATCTAAGTTCTACTTACTTGGGATCCAGAGGTGCATCGCTGTTGAGCCGACATGCTGCGGCGAATCGGGCGATAGCGGCTTGTAGGGTGCTTAGGTCTCCTTGCACAGCATGCTGGTGTAATAGTGTTTGCGCTGCCCCACACAGTTCGCCTTCCCAAGGGACGCTGCTACTCGCTTCCCCCGATGCAGCGTCCCCGCTGTGGAGCATACTCGCTGTCTCGACTTCGTGGGCCAGCAGCACGCCGAAGAGTCGTTCGTGTTGACGGACCTTTGTCATAACAGAATGTTTTAATGAACTTTTTCCTTCTGTGTGTTGTTATTTCTGCTTATTATCTTTTGAAAACGTATATAACCGTAAGTGAACGACACTGACAGATAAATAGCTCAATATAAATGGACCTAAATAAAAAAATATATTAGAAATTATAATCCGTCAGTGGACTATAGTCCACTCTTTGATCTCCGCTCTTTATCTGTTCTATCGTCTTAAATCTTGTCTTTGAGGACTTGTCTTGTAACTTTACACAACAGTTAATAACAAGGTATAACTGCATTTAGATTACCTGCTGCCAATTATCATCGTCATGCCTGCCTGCTTCGCGGGCTGACAGCCACAGACGGAGTCGAATGCGACCCTGTACTGAAGAGCGTTGCGATCGTGCTTCTAACTTGTACCAAGCTTCCACGCCAGTTGATGGAATCTCTCGCAGCGGAATATTTACGCAGCCTAAAATACAACATTGGTAACAGGCAACACAACATAAAATAAATATCTTTAATTGCTACAAAAATACATTACTTCTAAATAAACTTACCAAGAAAATCGTCTTGACTGCCCTGACGTGCACTTTGACATACTTGCTTAAAGAATCGTCCAAGACCGCGAACCCCACGCACTTCATTGAGTCGCGAAACTGCATCTAGCACGGAACTTTCGTCATCATGATCCCAGATGTCCAGGTGAAGGACGTCCGATGATATGTCATCAATGTCACTGCCGCAAGTTTAGTTACAAAATAAGGAAGCTTCTCTGTCTCATTATTAATTGAATAAACACAAAATTCGTATACAATCACAAGTAAAAAATTTTAATTTTAATTTTCTTAGAAATATGTAAGGTATTTTTAATTAAAATATATGATATTAAAAATTATCACATCATCATTAACACTTACCTGCAATGCAAGATAAAAAAGAGAGACAGCCAAATTTCTGGCAATGAAAATGAAATGAACTAAAACTACAAACTACTAAACTTAAATCAGGCATTTAAGCATTTTGCTGTTACTGTATTAAATTAATAGAAACTGAAAGCTTGAATACTTAACGTGCACGATTATCTATTCAGATGCAGCGATATCAGGTTCTCATAAAGCCACACAAATTATATCAACGAACCGAGGACTAACAGTCAAATAAAACGAAGCACGCTCAACATAATACTAAAACAAAAGTAAAAACACGAAACACAGCCAATAGACAACATAGAGAGATTATGAAAATGTGCCAATTGTCTTACAATTTAAACGTCTCATTCCATTTGGGCGATAAAGTGTGCGGTCTAACGCTAGTGGCGCGAATGTAACGTGCGGGCAGTCTCCCGAGGCTGTCACGCTGTTGGCGTCCGTCGCGACGCTTGAAACTCAGCCGGAAACCGTGTTTGCGGCCCTCGTCCTCGGAGGCCCGAGGGGAGGCGGGCAACGACGCCGGTTGGATTCCGAGCATGCAATACGGATCGCTAAATCCTAATAAAAACACTACGTCTTAAGCATCACCAGTAACATAACCTAGTTAGTAGGAAAATATCGTCCGTGTGTTATTGGGTGAAGGATTCCGTTTAAATGCGCAGTAAGGTTACTATTACGCGAGTGTGACGTGACTTGTTACAGATTGAATCGGTAAGCGAACTTAATGATTGTGTTTAATGGTTTTGTTTACAAATTATGTTTGGTATATCGGAGATTTCCGTTTACGATAAGAAACTGATAAGATAATTTAAAACATGCTTATAAAAAATCACTTTTTTGATAAAAATGTGGAATTGCCTTTCTAATTATTTAGTAAATTTTAAAAAGAATGTGATTCTGATGAAATGTTCTCATATGATTATACTCAACAAATCACCAAAAACTAAGAGTTGCACAAAATCATCACCTTACTTAATATCTACTATTAGCTCAATATATCACTTTAGATAAAAATTACAAAATCATAGTATAAAAAGGTATTATCGTTACTACGTGTTCAGACTTCGCCTACGTGGTGAAACTTAAAGAAGGTACCGTTAGCATCTTTAGCCTCTAATCCATCGGCTTCGATGACCGCACAGCCGAGTACCACAGTGGGGGGGCGTTCGCTACCAGCTGAGCGGAGTGCCCTTGCATGTACTTCTGTAGGAACTTTGAATGCACGACGAGCATACTCAATTACTTCCTCCTTATAAGCTGCAAACTGTCCATCCGGTGCAGGTGCCCCCACTGCATTCTCGATGCAATATAATACCTAGGATAGATAAAAAAATCACGTTATTTATCTCGTTTTGAGTCTTCCAATCCTCGGTAGATTTGCCTGTTGGGTTAAATAAAATTAATAAAATTAACTAAATATAATTAATAAATTTAATAACCCCAAATAAAATTACCCCACATATTTTTTTACATATTATTAATGAAAATACTACTTATAATTTAAAAAATGTCTCTGTATAATTTTGAAGGTGTATCGGATAAACTTTTGTGTAAAAAAAACCTTGGAATTGCAAAATTTCCTTAAAGATATACTAAGCTGCCATAAAAGTTGATGATAAGGAGTAAATACAAAGACTTTGCGTGTTTAAACCCAATTAAGCGTATCCAACCAGACCTTTATTATCTCTAGAAACTAAAACATGTAGTCAGGGAAAAGTTTTAAAAAACTAAAAAAAAGTAATATGTAAATATAACATTAAAATTTATAATTTAAAAATAATAAATAAAGTAAAAATTATAACACTAAATGTAGTAAACTACTAATGTGTAGCAAATAAAATCTGAGACGTATGGGAAGTAAAAATAATTTTATAGACATATAAAATATTTTACAAACTTATAACATAAAAAAGTTAAGTAAAAGCCTATTAAAAGAAAAAGATCAAAATTTTGAACTTAAGTAATAATATTTCGCCTTCCATAGCAAAATATCAGATTAACAAGTAGTACAAGATAAACTTAAGATACCTCAGTATATAGATGCTCATGTTCCTTGTGCGATAAATGAGCAGAGACACTTGGCAGACCAAGCTCATGAGGGGCTGGAGGTGGACGTTCAGCTCTGGCCTCGGCCAAACGTAGAGCAGCCAGCCTACGATTCTCTTGCCTCCAAGACAGTGCCGTGAAGCTCTCAAAATAGGAACCATCCGTCTCTTGCACGCTAACAATTAAAACATATTGACGTAATTTACTCTGGTCTTAAATCTACTTATTCGATTTTTTTTGTTTGGAAATAAAATCTTTAATTTCAATTAATTTATTTGTTACAATAAAAAATCTGGGTTTTTGTAGATGTAACTCATGTAATTCAACATTTTTATCAAACACATTTAGCCCTTACAACGTGATAAGAATAAAACAAACTGTATATGTATGTACTTTCTCATTTAAAATTCCTAGTAATGAGTAAATACACATAACATACGTAAAATACATATACGCACAAATAACTATTCATATTATGTTTTATCCTTCCCTTTTGAGGGTATAGTTCTCTTTTAATTTATTACAGTGAGTTTTTTATATTAAACTAATAACATTTTAAGGTCCAATATATAGTCTTAAAACATATAAATATATTTGATAAGAAGTTTTTCTTTACACAATCTTACTGTGCTAATCTGTATAGTACTCGTAGTTAGTTACCTTCTTTAGATCAAGAAACAAATAGTTTCAGTTACTCTCAATTCTTTGTTTGCTTACTTGGAACATAACAAAAATATAACCGTGTTCGGGACTACTCGCGCAACTACGCAGAAACATAAATTTGAATCATTCTATAGACAATATACATATTCAGGCATATTCTACGAAAGAGGTCAAGTTTTAGTCGAAAGAAAAGGTATTTATAGTTAAATCATTAATTTTATCTACGTTTGATTATCGGGAACATTAAGGACTGGACTGTTTAAATAATTAAACGAGGAGGAAAGGTTTGTTTTTTTTTTGGTAAATCGTGTATTTTGGAAATTACATTTAGACACAAATTACTGAGTAATGAAATATTCATAATATTTTTCGATCGTACCAACATAATAATAAGAAAATATGAATTCGTGTTTTTCACAAAAGAAAGAACTTTAAAAAAAGGGTAAAAAAATAACAAATCGACAAAAAATTAAAAATTAAAGAAAGCAATGATCTGGAATCAAAAAAAATAAAAAATAAGTGTGTAAATGATCGTGACACGAACCACGGCCTTCTGCTTCGGGGCCGCCCGATTACCGACCGAGCTATTATAACATTATTTTTTTTTTCGGTGAAATTTATCGTCGTATTCGAATGACATTTTTCATTCCCTGAAAAATGGGATAAAACGAATTGAAATAGAAAATTGTAAATTTCTGAAAATGAAACCTAGCCGGATCGATTTTTCGCCCCCGAATCTACGCACATACAAAATTTCAGGAAATTCGCTGGAGCCGTTTCCGAGATTCCGATTATATATAAATATATATATATATAGGGGCCTGCCCATTCGTGCAAAACAGCCGAGGCTGCTGCGTGGCCCTAAGCTAAAAAAACTAACGAAATATGCTTCTGTCATATTTTTATACAGAAAATTTAATAACATCGTACAATTTATCTCTTTTTTAATTTGACTAGGAGCGACACAGATTTATTTTTAAATAGAAAAGAGGTAGGCTACGTATTCTCATAAACGCAAAAATATGTCTTTATATTATGAGTAATTCAATATTCACTTCGATCTTCTTAAAAACAGTAAATATTTCAAGCACTCTTTCTCGTATATTTTTTACCGTAGGAACTGAAAGGAAACTGAATTAGCAATGCAAACTAGATAGCAATCACGAACACCGGATCTTTGCCAAGGCTAGGAGAAGATAGATTTTGTGTAGCGTCATATTTTACCCAGCCAATGCATAAAACCAAAATTTAAAATAAGAAAGTTTGAAAAACTTTTCTAAGTAATTTATTATATTAAAAAGCTGAGAGATACCCCTGCGTTTTAATGAGTAATGATAGTGAGTAATGATTCTAGTTAAAATAATATCAAGTCTTGCAATTATCGTTAGTAGGTTTTTTGTAATGAAAATTAATAAAAATAAAGTATTAACTAATTCCATTAATATTTTAAAATTTTATTTTAATGATTCGGAATAAAATAATTTTTACTTGAATATACGTAACATATATGGTTTGTATTGTAATAAAATACAATATATATTCAATAGGTCATTAATTATACATGTATATTGAACCGTTTATTATAACAAAAGACTAATCCTACGATATGCATAATACCGAAACCAATATACTAAAAATAAAACTCAATATAAACACATACACAAACAGTTATAATACATCTACACTCGAGTTTCTCCGCTTTATTTGAGTGCCCATTTAAACAAAGTAATAAACGTCGAATTGTTTGTAAAATAATACAATTATTTGCGAAAGGCATAGCTTTTTTCTAAGTACGAAACTTTTAGATTAAAATACGGCCTTTCCATAATTAAAGATCCCTAAGATATGCCTCCCACGAAAGACTGCCACGAAACACGATATTGAACCACCTGTATCCATCGGCTTCCCGCACTTTTAAACAGGTTGTCACGTCCGTTTAATGTGCATTGCTGCTTCAGCTTACCAATTATCTGATCTATGTCGGTTACCTTTATTCTACTGCAGATATCTGTATTGCGAACTCTATGAAACAGAGAAATGCTCCAGTAGGCTATGCTCGGTATAATCGACTTTGAGCTTCCTCATATGGTCAGCAATGGAGGAAAAAAAGAGTTTAGTTTTCAAACATCGAGGGATATGGGCAGAGAAGATTTTCCGAACGCTGTCCATCCAATTTGATTCACCGATTGACCTCTGAGTCCAAAGTGGATTAACCTTATCGGAGTTACTATCCGTAGGTAGACAGAAGTAACGAATTTATAATTTTCGGTGTCTTTAGACCCCTCTTTCGCGCCTCTCACGTCTATACGGGTACACTTAATAGATGCATATAGTACTATTTTACCGCCCTCCCTCGGCACATCGCCGTGCAATATTTAAATGTACGTTCACCTAAGGAATCGCTTTACTAAATGACTTCATAATAAAATCATAAACCCGTCATCATCAGTAGATATTTTAGAGATTCTTTTATCGAAAGTAAAAGCAATAATAAATACTTTAATCGATTTTAATTTGGTTTAAAGCAATCTGGCAAGACTCATTAACTCGCGGAGGACCGGCTTTGAGTCACACCCAACTAACTTTATTGGTAGCCATTATCAAGATTAAGTAAACAGCCTGGCGAGTTCTTGGCAGGGCAGTTATTTGTTTGACTAAAATTTTAATATTTTTTTTAACGTTAAAACATATTAAACGTATTTGAACACACTTTGGTCAATTAATATATTTCTTTTATCATTAGATGTTTAAGTCTTTTTTTATAAAATCGGGGTACACGACATAAATACAGAAGTTTAATTTTATTACAAAATAATAGCGTGTCGCGCGACACCTAAACCTCTTTCAATTACTTCCTTCTAAACTTGTTTATTACTTATTTTTTTTTGTATATATAGCGCTACCTACTTGTTTCTTTTTATATTTCCCTTCTTACTCTCCACTTTCATCATTCTCATTTAAATTGTTTTCGTTTTCAACTAAGTGTCTTCCCGTTTTAGCATATATGTAAACCTCCTGCCATATATCAGACGTTGTAATGGAATATTTATTCAAGATTGGAATTAAATTATTTTAAAATATCCGTTTTATTAGCTTTTTCATGTTATTTTAATTTTTAAGAAACGTTGAGATTGGGATTTTCAATGTTCTTTTAGATGAAATATTTTGGAAATTTACATTCAAAAATTTTAAACTTACGCAAGTACTTTGCTGCAATATTGTTTTACTGAACTTTTACATAAACTTTATAAAAATACGCTGTCATTGATGCGTTTTACCGAATAAAACTAAAAAGGTTTTTATTAAGATTTCATTTGTTGCCTGTGAATTGTTTAGTTTGGTTGCTGTAACCATAAATTATAGGAAAACGGAGTGCAAACAATTTACTTTCAGGATGATAATTTTCGGAAGTAATAATAATTTACTTTCTCTTCCTTTATTTACTAACTATATTAATAACCCAGGGACTACATGGACAGACTCAATCGTTGAGGGAACCCTGGATGCAGCTATAATGGTTTCTAATGGAACCGCTAGTAATCGCTAGTTCCCAGCTTAGATTAAAGTATTTTTATTTTTACTTTTTGTGACATCAAAATAAATAAATTGTAACTTACCCTGAGTTAACAGAATTGTCCACTTCGGGCCAGGAGAGGCGTCGTTTGCAAAAAGCCATGGTGGGTTTCTCGGGTGGCAATGTTTGTCGAGGCGCTCGCAAGGAGCCTCCACGTCGTTGCGGGGCAATGGGAGCCAAACAGTCCAAAGTACGACGACGTGCGCCCAATGCTGACACTCCCTCAGTAGGGACAACACGAGGAAATCCTTCCCGCGAGGAAATTACAAAAAAATAAATATAAAATTCGAATATTTAGGTATTTACAAATCTCAGAAACAGTTTAGCTATTCTCAACTTCAAAAAGCAGTCCATGATTCAAGTAAGACTGGGAAGAATCGAATGATTACATATGGAACGAATTTAATATAAGCTTATTTAAAACTTTTAAAAAAAGACAATGTCTCGCATTCAGATTAATATTTAAAAATGACGAATTTATGGAAGCATCTTTTATGTAAATGTAAAAGATGCTTCCATAAATTTTCTCATACTTAATCTACCAATATATAAAGCTACCAATTTATAAATTGAATTCGAATTCATAGTACGTATAGTTATATTTAACTAATTAGTAATTGCTTCTGATTTAATCGGTAATACCCCTAATCTCAAATATAATCAAACTGTTTTAAGACCTTAGCACTATCGTTTTTTACAATAAAAACATTTGATTAAACTAATTCGCGGGAAGCGATAGATGCAATATAAATCAAACAAGTCACGCAAGTAAAATTAAGCTTTTAACTCGAATATTTCACTGCATTTGCATGTGTCCTAGTTTCTCCTTTTTTACAATAACCTGTAATTTTTTTGTCATTCTATGTCATTAACAAATTACAATTTGTTTACACAAATAACTGCTTCTCGCTTTCTATTTATCGACATTAAATTCTCATTTCATATAACGATTATAACTTTCGCATAATGAAGGAAGGTTCGGACTATTATTTTAGTGCGCTTAACTCTCCTTTTGAACACTTAAATGAGGAGCTATTTAACTTAATCCTTCCTTTACCTCGCATAGTTGCTGTCGACGGTTGTTGTTGCTGCTGAGACTCTTCTGCAGAACGGTGGCGTGGTGGTGGGGCGCGGCGCGGCGATAAAGCGAGCCCGGCCACACTGTCCGCCATACCGGCCACGTACTGGCCAATCGATGACAGAAAACTCATCTTGGAACCGCTCACACCACGCACATTTGAATCTAACAGTTGATTTTAATTCACAAACGCTACGCGATGATCGTTAAGCGCGAGCCGCGTGCATAATTCTGCCAATGGTGTTTAACGTACCGCTATAACAGCTGATTAAGTAGTGGATTACCTGCAAAAAAGAATTACTCCATTAAATGACAGAGACTTTTGTTGAACTTATAATGATACAAATAAAATATTTCTTGCTGATAAGTTTTTGCGGTCCTCCGATAAATCATAGCTGTTTTTTTATTAAGTAAATGTGGAAAAGCAAACAAGAATTAGTTGATAATTTGAATTATAATACTCTTAGAAAGTTTCATAACTTTCAAAACTCCTTTAGTAAACATAATATATTACACACGTTAATCATACAAGTAATATCATTAGACGAAATCTGAATGTTTTGGCTGCTCATTAATTTTACATAACATGAGTTCGCGATAGGGCTGCAATTCACATGAAATCACAAAATGAACGCGTAACATGGAAATTACACAGAGCAGTATCGCAGTCAGTAAATTAAAATCAAATTTTCGCAGAAGCCTTAAAGCCAACTGAAACTTTAAATTAAAGATTTCAAACCACATGCATTAGGATATTATGAAATACACCCATCGTATCTATGAACACCTTACCTTATAGTAATTAATGTATAGTTTTGGGTCTTTTTTCATTAAGTAGTAAAAATTAGACAAAGCATTATATTATCGTATGCAGATAACAGCTATATTGGAAGAGGATTATGGTGCAAGTACACGTGGCGTGTTCCCAGCACCAAACAAGGACTGATAACAAAGAACCAGCAAAAAAGCTATAATGTAGTGTTGCAATTTAAAATCCCCAGAATTAAACTCAAACAAAAACAAATTTTTATGTTTACCTTTAAGATACTTATTTCGTTTTGCAGTACGTAGTTCAGTTTTCAGTATGTTACGTCTTTATGACTTGGTTTGACATAAAACATCTTTTTATATTGATGTCAGCGAACGTGGCTAGACACCTAAAACCTTTATTGGGCTGATAAATGAGATACGATGGGAAAATTATGATTAACATAGTTTTTATAGTCTGTCTTACAGGTATAGTACGTTGGTAGGTACCTCGCTATCCTATTAGATAGAAAGGCTTTATCGAACTTTAGAAAGCATCCGATCTCCGATTATGACACTCTCCAAACAAAGCGCAAACGTCTAAATAATTTCGCCAGAACATTCCATATTCTGTATGAATAATTTTGAATAAAAAATAAGAATATTACATTATTTCGTTTTAACTACAACCTTGATTCCAACTTATATTTTGATTAACTATTGTGGAAATTTCCCGCATCTATTTACGGTGGTAGGGCCACGCAGCAGCTTCGGCTGTTGCACGAATGGGCAGGCCCGTCCGGGTAAGTACCACGACCTCACAGAAGATCAGCGTAAAGTGGAAGTATGACAAATACTTTCGCGTTTCGTCTGGTGAGTGAGGTAGCCGGAGCCCAATTTTCAAAAGGTTGTCAAGGCATCTATCGGGTTTGTCCATGGGCGGCGGTATTCACTTAACATCAGGTGAACCGTCTGCTCGTTTGACAACTATTCGCATTAAAAAAAAAAAAAAAAAATCTATTTTATAGCAGCATGAAAAAAAGCTGCGGTAGTCAATAAGTGTCGTTACAACTTTTTTTAAAGACAAAGTAGAAAAAACTCTTAAGATGAAACTCTTTGTCCCTCGAGACCCTAATATTGGTGCCTAGGCTCCATGGAAGAGTGCCAAATTATTATGTTACATTTTTTATCAATCAAAGATCAAAGTTTTATGTCGGTTAGACATGTACGTTGATCGATTGATAAACTGACTTCAACGTTACAAGTGCGAGGCAGACTTAATTTACTTAACATGTTTTGACAAGGTCAATTAAAGGCAGGACTAATTTTTTTGATTGTATATGTAGAAAAACATCTTATTTTTCAATTGATTTTTCACATACATTTATGTATATGTTTCAGTGTGATATTTATTACTACCAAACACATCTGGAAGATGAATATTTATCGTTTTATAATACGAAAAGGGCATTACCAAAAACATAAGTTTTTACTTCATACAAATAATAATAAGGCCTTTACGAATTTTGCAAAATATATGAAATATAATAATTATGATCAAGTATACTTAAATATAATAGGTTGTGTGTATGAATATTTTATGAAGGGTCATATTCATCTTTGCCAGAGAATATCCTATTACATAATTCATAATACTCATCTTAATATATGTAAATATATTTTAGTAAGTAGTGCGTAGCGGTAAGCTTGGTTTTATCAAGAAAACAGTTTAAAAGTTAAGGGAATAATTCATCATCAATACTATATTTAGCATTACTATAAGTATTTAGCTTTTAAAATAAATATTTCCAATAATAATTGCAACACTAGCGGTAACAAGCGTCTAATAATGAAATGATCAGAGTTTGCACTTTCCGCGATTCCATACCTCGCTAAAGGCTGAAAGATAAATCGAATGTATTTTATTTTTTAATTTATAAAACTAATCACTTATATGACAATGAAGGTAAGCAGAAGTTTATAAGACAACTTGTAACTAGTCGTCTGTAAGATTTAATGTGATAAAACATGTGCTACATACTTATCGTATGTTTCATCACATCAAGTACTTGAGGATTAAAACAAAACTTTATCTAAGGAATCGTATTTAGATTGATGAAAATTATCCCAAGAATGCATAAAAGTGTAACATTGGGATAATAATTTATAGAATTCTGATGATAATTTTTCAAAATGGAAGTGCAGGAAAATTTTATTCATGATATCCAACATAAATATATCGCGGAATATCACGTCGACGACAAGGAGGATATGCCCTTACAATCATACAACTTTCATTTGTGATTCAATAATATCATCACTGCCATAAATAAGGTAATTTAACTCGCTGCTCGCGCGGTAATTATATAGTTTTAGGTGAAATATAGATCACCAAATCATTTTGCTATTATTATATGCCATTACAAGTTGTATTTGAAATATCTTCTAAGTCATCAACAAATAAAATAAATACAACAGTAAAGAATATGGTGGGCAAAATTATTAATAAACATCGAAATATATTTTTCGATTTTTATTAATAATTTGCGACCCAAATATTGACCCTGGGGTCAAATATTAATCCTGGACAAGCTGCTGGTCCAGGTGTCACGTAAGTATTCTTAGTACCCGAACATCTTGGCATTACATATGCCAAGATTTTCGTATAGGATGTTCAAACTGGTTGTGGCTAACACACGATATTTTCTTCAAGCTGCTTCTTCTAACTAAGCGGTCTTCATCCAATATGAATTTTTCGAGGTTTTCAACGCTATCTACCGTGGTCGCGTAGACGAGTCGCCCGGGCCTTGGATCACATTCAATCGAAACACTGCCTTGCTCGAAAAGGGCTTGAAGGTCAATGAACAGAGTCCCAATAAACTGACACCTCTTCCAAAATAGTCTGAGGCGATTGTCCTGGATTGGCAAGGAATTTTTTTATTGCGCGAAACTCAATTTTCTCCATGTTGTAAATTTTCTTACTTTTATTATCAGTGAATAAAAGCTAAATTTTATAAAACTTTGTATTTCTAGCATTAATTAGTATCAGAACCGGTTCAGTTAACAAAATTTAACCTTTTCCCGTACCCACCCCCGTAACCCGACACCAATTTAGACCCACCCTCGTATAGCATTTTGAAACAATTCATAAAATGTTGATAATATTACATTGAAATTTTCGCATTTAATAAAATACGCTTTTTTTAATGTTTCAAATGATAATTTTAATTTAATATTAAATTTATTTAACCGCTTAGTATTATCAAGATAACATATTACATTCATATGAAAACCTTAAAACCGCGCATTTCGCACAGTCGCTTCTGTGGTAAAAGTAAAAATATGTTCAAAGAATAAGTTTGGGATGCTGCAAACATATTGTAATTTTCTTTTTACATAAATACATTGGTAAATTGGCATAAATTATTTGCAGATATCAAGATAACTAATTCGGCCTTGTTCTCATTTTTTCTATTATCCTGTGTCGTAGGGGGTATTTTACGTTTAAATTTCACGTGGACAAACAACCAGAACCGAAACAAATATCTGTGGGTCACACAAATTATTGTCCTATGTGGGAATCGAACCCACAATCCCCGGCACCGAAACTGACCTTGGCAACTGGGCTACGGAGTTATCACGTATAAGTTTAGCAGTTCTAAAGCAGTTCTATAGTTTAGTAGTTCCAGTTCCTTTTGAATAAAGGATTCATTACATTTTTCAAGTACCTTATTAATCTCAATGTTATTTTTAACATTAATTGTTATTTCTTAGTTGGTAAATAATAGTTTAGTTGCCTGCTAAGTTTTTATACAAATCTCTATATTTACTATTTAAGATTTAAGAATACCAAAGGCTGACCGATAGGTTAAAAGAAAGCACAATTCATTAGTTGTCACTTATTGGAACTTTAGTTTACACACGTTTAATAATATATCTTAACCTTTAATAGATATATTATAAATGAAAGTTATCGCTATTGGTTTTACGCGATCCGTTTTCTGTGCGTGTTTATTGTTTTGCGTTTTTTCACACGAATCGTCATAACTGGTTTGGTTTAGGTTAGTTCCGACAGACAGTACATTTCCGTATATGGACAACGCATCAGTTTTACAAACAGGTATACAGCTCTAAATGGAGCAAAATTACACGAAGTTTTCATGCTCCAATGGTGCATGGAAAAACTTCGTGTAACTACGTTGCCTCTCAGAATACCGACGTGAAGTCGAAGTGTTATTTATGCTTCTGCGTTTCCTCTAGTAAGTGAGACAACTGCCTCCTGTATTAAAAGTTAAACCCATCTGCAACCCTACGGGGTTACACATATCCGTGGGTGGTGATTATCGCTTAAAATAGGGTTACAATGATGATAAGATGTACCGCCAA